CGGGATCGTCGTCAGACCACCCCTTTTCCATTCTTCCAGAGATACCGTACCATCCGCGTCGTAGTCTATTTCTATCATCATATCTTGCAGTATCTAGAAATATCGAGGATTTACGTCTAGATATCGCTCATCAATTTCCCATCTCTTCGTTGTGTAAACAAAGAAATTTTAGATTTTATGTATCTTCTTCCCAAACGTAATATCTCTTCTATAATGTTTATAATAGAGTAACTTGAGGCAACTGTTTTATTACAAAATTGAAATTCACGATGTTATTTAAAGTACATTTTTTTTTTAATGGGATGGTTCGTTATTTTAGAAAAGGTTTCTTTTCGTATTAATTAAAATAAATGTTTTAAACGAAAAGAATCGTATCTAGATGAAAAATAGAGTTATTAAGATGCGCGTGGATACGACAACGTGCATCTGAAAAGGAATATTAATGATATTCCAACTCACCGGTTTCAATTCCGAGACGTCCCATCCGAGATACTCGGCGACATTCATCATCTGATTGACAATGCAGTCCATCTCCTAGGGAAACGTGATAATAATATTAAACCCGTGGCTACGTTAGATAAGGTGCTCTCGAATCGATCTATTTCAATTCGTTGATGGACTTCGCTGCCCTATCGACAGGCGTATTTACGATTAATTGGTCGATAAATTTCCAATACTACCATATGAAACCTATAATCATTTCGTTTAACATATATGGTGAGAAAACATTGAACAAAAATATAGATATAAAATCCGACCATTTGAAACGTCGCAAACTATTTGCAATTCCGTGCAGTTTCCATTTTCTTCGCGTTTAAACACGCTGTCGATGAGAATCGGTTTTTTGCAGCAATTAAGGGAAAAAATAAAACAAAAAATCTCGTTCTACTCACGTTTGTGTCAAGAACGCCGTTCCCATCTGTATCGTACAGCCGGAACATGACTGAAAAAAAAGAGAGAAAGGCAAATGAATTAATGCGCGTCGAAATTGGCGTGCAACAAGTTGCAGCAGATATGCAAGCTCGAGTGCACTGTGTGCGAGTGCGACTAGCGAAGCAGACTGAGAAAATGACTGGCGTTGGACACGCGAATACGAACGTTTAAGGAATACAGCCGTGACTGTCGATGCATCTGTCCGTGAATTTTTCTTTTATCAGGCCATGATTTATGACAAAGTGACATAAGAACGCGTTAATGGCGAAAGGTTACCCGAGATCGGAACAAAAATACCCACTGCTCGCTTTCATGAGATCTAATTAACTTTGATCGATACAAAAGAAACAATTACTTACACTCTAATTTATCTTCTGGCCTACCAGCTTCCAGGAGGGAAAGATAGCACACGATATCCTTGAGGCTGACTTTAACCGAGTGGACATCTATCGTACTCTGTTTTCTAACGAAGTTTCTCATTTCTGCGGAATGAAAGATAATGAACGAAATTAAGATCTGTTTGATTCGATGCGTATCGTTTAACTGCCAAAAACATTCTGCTCTCTATTCATTTTCGTTTAATCCTTTCCTTACAACGAGTAATTATACCCGTGGATAGCCAGTATCAAGCGTTTATTATATTGGATTGTAACATTCGTTCGTCTTCTTCCATTAAAATAGAACCTGATTTTGTGATGCAATTCAATATATCAAGCCCTTAACGCACGAATTTTTCTTCGATTTAGTAGCGAAAATGGGTAAATTTTCGCGTAATATTGTAGGGGATCGAATAATGAGACTGCCAGTATGTGTAATCGTTAATGTATTTAAAACACTTCTCGTCGCGAAACGGTATGTATAAAGTTTGGTCACAGTTTATAATGAAACGTTTGCGATCGCGTTCGTTTATTTATAATAGTCAGGGGAAAGTCAAAAGATTCAAATTTGTCTTGTTTTACGGTTACATGGGTTACACGGTTTTACGGTCCTTACAATACCTGTGACCTAACGGTCTTGATACTCCGAAGCAAAACAACATGATTTGAATCGAATTCTAACTCTTGTGCCGCTACAATATAAAACGACTAACAATGAAAATGTGTATAATCGTCTTATAGTACGAATCTATAAAAATCAATGACTAAAATAATCAGCCAAATTAAAAGCAATCTATGACCGTATATGTTAGGGGCATGTATCGAATGGTTAAGGATAACTATAGTCAGACGTAAAAATTTCATCGAAACTCTGTTTCAGCATAACGCAGCTTCATATCTTTAGGTTAATTGGCATTCTTGTACTAACTGTGTTACGATATAATGGAATCGTACTTTTCAATATCTACTCATTTTTTCAGTGCTTAAATCAAATGCCTAGTAAAATCTATCAAAACAATGGTACGCTATAACTGAAGAAATTGAGACCTGGTGGAAACAAACGATCCGATACATCGTTGCAATTTTCCACTAGTAACATTGTACGACTCAATAGTGCGTCTATCAACGAACAGTCGTGCACGTGCAATGCTCGATCGTTATAATTAGAGCGGTACTCGTGTGCATGCATCGATACTTGGCTCCTAAACCCCGTTACGTACGAAGCAACAGGTTCCTTGTAGAAATTCTTAGACACGGCTGACGAAAGCCATTTCGTTCTAATCTAAAAATAATATTTGATCGGACTTTTCTTCGACTTTGACGTCACTATGAGACCATAACTTTTCCTGGACTTATTAGAAATCCAGGAATGTGTGCAATAATAGTTGAAACTGTCTAGTCACGCTATAAGCGTCGATCGAATGTAATGGTATTTTATATCTATGTTCGCTGCAGACGATGCGACACCATTGCAATTTCGTTGCAACAACGCTTTACGATTCAACAGGTTTATATTTCCAATGACGAAATGGACACAAGGGTGCTATATTGGAAATATACAGGGTGGTTGGTAACTGGTGGTACAAGCGGAAAGGGGGTGATTCTAGGCGAAAAAAGAAGTCGAAAATATAGAATAACAATTTTTCGTTCGAGGCTTTGTTTTCGAGAAAATCGACGTTGAATTTTCGCTCGGTACGCGTGCACTTTATCGCTTCTCGTTATAACGGATCTCACTGTAGATCATTGTCTCGATGGAAAAATTAAAAAAAATTTTTATTCTATATTTTCTATATTTTCTATTCTATATTATTCCATCGAGACAACGATCTACAGTACCGCACGCGTACCGAGCGAAAATTCAAAGTCGATTTTCTCGAAAACAAAGCCTCGAACGAAAAATTGTTATTCTATATTTTCGACTTCTTTTTTCGCCTAGAATCACCCCCTTTCCGCTTGTACCACCAGTTACCAACCACCCTGTATATTTCCAATATAGCACCCTTGTGTCCATTTCGTCATTGGAAATATAAACCTGTTGAATCGTAAAGCGTTGTTGCAACGAAATTGCAATGGTGTCGCATCGTCTGCAGCGAACATAGATATAAAATACCATTACATTCGATCGACGCTTATAGCGTGACTAGACAGTTTCAACTATTATTGCACACATTCCTGGATTTCTAATAAGTCCAGGAAAAGTTATGGTCTCATAGTGACGTCAAAGTCGAAGAAAAGTCCGATCAAATATTATTTTTAGATTAGAACGAAATGGCTTTCGTCAGCCGTGTCTAAGAATTTCTACAAGGAACCTGTTGCTTCGTACGTAACGGGGTTTAGGAGCCAAGTATCGATGCATGCACACGAGTACCGCTCTAATTATAACGATCGAGCATTGCACGTGCACGACTGTTCGTTGATAGACGCGACGAATATTCTTGGAACGATATTTGTAAGCAGAAATTTCGTGTTTTACCTTCGTAATTTCGCTCGATACGTAAACAATTTCTCGATCGAACGATCGAATACGGAAAAAACGTAAGTTACTGGGATCTTTGACATTTGATATTCTGCTATTATATTGTTGCTGTATATCGTACAACCTTTCTCTTGTTCTGTAACAAAATGTAATTTAGTCGATAACTTAACCGCGCTATGATTTTCCGATTCTTTATTTCCCAATCTTACTTTAATTTCAAGCAAGAAAAGTCTTTTAACGTTTTAATATCGCAATGTTTCTTTCTCAATTTCTTCAAACTTAAAAAGAATTTTGGAGCGGATTACTATATACTCTGTTAAAATATTCTGTTTTAAGAATTATTATTATTATTTTGTGGAAATTGTGTAATAGAAGAACGCAAGAAAGTTGTTTGAAAATCCGAAAAACGATCTCCAAGTGACTTTCAATGACGTCGATGTAACCCTCCAATGACCTTGACACGATTTTTTACGCTTTTCGAGTATTTGTCGTAGTTTATTAAAACTTAGTGTAACCTTGAATAATCTAGTATAGTTTTGAGCGATCTGGAAATATCTGTAAAAAATATTTCAATCATCGCGCAAAGAAAACTATCGAATTTCATCGAAATAATATTCCCTCGAACTGGCCGATTCGGAATTATTCGAGGACACTCGAGGATGACTCAATAAAACGAGTAGAACGTGATTGTCTGACCGAGAGGCAACTCGTGTGAGACTATTAGTTTACCGTGTTGCTGATAAAAATAGTCCCGAATCGGAGACAAGACGAAGCCTCGAGACATCGATACTGTCCCTGTAATTCCTTCTCGTGATTTTACGAGTCTCTAGATACGTAGACACCTGAGATGTCCCTATGAAGGAAACAGAGAAGAAAAACAAGAAGACTAAGAAGAAGAAGAAGAAGAAGAAGAAGAAGAAAAAAAGGAGGAAGGTTAAAACGGCTAGTCACGAGGGAAATAAAACCGGTCGATCAATCGTTGAAGGCGAACGATTTATCTTTAGTACGCGCAACAACGTTGAAACAAATTCACCGGTAATTCTATTGCTCTCTGGCGGTCCATTTTGCCTCGTCCATGATTTCTCGATGGCTACGCTCGCGATTTATATTGCGGCGATTTCAAGTGACGCACGAATGAACCGCGAAAACTGATTTCATTCTCGCCGCCAAGAAACACGCGAAAAATCCTGTTTTCCACTCTTGAGCAGGCCATCGCACAGCTTAATACGTATCAGCTTGATACTCGGTACTGTAGCGTTCGCTTTTGCTTTTCATAAAATTCTACAACTTCTGTTTTACCAGTAAAACTGATTCATCGTTATATAGCGGAGAATATCTTTGGCATAACTTCTCCGACATTTACGTATGAAGATGGTAGCAGAGGATGGTCTTCGATAGCTGTAAGTAAACAGTTGATTTTGAACAGACCACGCCAGTGTTATTTGTGGATGCAGCAACGCTTTCGTATTTCAACAAATATTGATATTGAACATGTAATTAAACGCTGTCGAATCTTTCGTCCGATGAAATCATTAACGTAAAAGCTTGTTTGCAATGTGATACAGCGCGAACTTACAGGTTCGAGGAAGACAAAAAGAACACGATTGTCCCGACTAATTATTCTTCCAAACAACGAAGTTACTGGCGCGAAAGGGAGAAAAGGAGTTCATCGATCATCAGAGGTGCATGGTATACGGGTTCGTTGGAGAAACTTGGCTGCAATTTATTCCACCGAGCAACGTGATCACTGAGAACAATTAATTTAATTGAAACCATCGGTGCTCGCCGGATGACACGATTGATTGCCTCGCCACGACGATCACGGTGTAATGAATAACCGGACGGGCTAACTTATTCGACGTTATTTCCGGCCAGATTTCATTTCGCCGTATGAATAGAATCATCCTGAACGACCACGTGCATTGTTTCCCGCGACAATTAATCCGGTGCAACAACCGACCTGGTCTTTCGGCCACGTCGAGAAAGCGATATTCTTGCACAATGTTATTTTTGTTTGATAAAAGGGCTCGATGTTTCGCCTGTTCCGAACAACGAGAAGCGTTGGCCAATCGCGGCGAGCGTCGATGACACAAATGTTTTTCTGTCAACCTGGAAATTCATGGCGCTTAATTTTTGCGTTATAGACACGGAGCAACGATTTTATTTAACAGCGGAATTTCGCTCGTTTGTAACTTTCATTGTTAATAATGTTCAACAATGATATTCTACGTTGTCTTTGTAATAAATATAAATGGATGACAAAGCACTGCTATCTTTAAACAACGGAGCAAGTTGAAAGGGAAAAAGTAAAATATACTACACAAAATACTTACTTCTAAATATTCTCTAGTTTGTTACTTACAAGCTAGTTAACAAGAAACAAGACCAGATTACTCGACATTTTATTTGTTGGAAGTATACTTCGGATTTAAATTACGGCTATTCTTTGTCAATTCCGAATTCTCCGTCAAAATTGAAATATTTATATTACAGAAAAATCTCTATTCGAAAAACACGTGGTATTTAGTATAATTCTTATTTGTGCACCGTGTTGAAACTATATACCGCATGTAATTTTGTGACACATCGATATTAATAACATTTGCAATCTGATTCATTGTATGTCATCCAGACATCCAATAATATACACTAGTTGAAGTTTTCAGAGAGCGAACATAATCCGTTGAAATCGCAATTAATCTGTCTTTATCCAACTTAGAAATATTGCCTTCGTCTCACCTTCCTTCAACAATGCACCAGGAATATCTGGTAAACGTGTTCGAGCGCCCTTCAGCACCATTGTGTCAGGAATCGATGATTAACAAGGTGACTCCAGAGTTGGAGAACACGGAAGCTTTGCAACCGGAAGACGATGAAGTTGCAGTTGAAAATACTATTAAACAACCATTGGCCGCGATCAACGACTAATATATAGCGGGAAATATGAAGATGACACTTGTTGCTTGCCGCGTGACTCGAGAGATACTGAGAAAGTATATCGAGAGAGCTTAACGCCAAGAAGAGTCGCGATGTACTCTAAGGTTGACGTTATTTATACCAGATGATACTGGTTCGACGTTATTTTGGGATTCGAACGAATACGCAAACTCATCGGTGAACAGCGGGACGATTGAACAACGAAAACGGGGGTCTATGGATTGCTGAAAAATTGATTCGCTTGTTTACTGGTCTCTATCGATTGAAACAAGGAAGAACAGAATGTGATCCGATATATACATTTCCTGTGTAATTGATTTTAATATTCGGTCATTTATTCGTAGGATATCTATATCAATATCTATATACCTTTGTTTTGATAACTACTAATTAATATGACACTATTACTTGCTAAATTTAATGTACCTGCGTGTATATGTATCTTATCGTTTCTAAGAAGTTGTATAATTATGTAATATGAATATATACAGGGTGGTTGGCAACTGGTGGTACAAGCGGAAAAGGGGTGATTCTACGCGAAAAAAGAAGTCAAAAATATAGAATAACAATTTTTCGTTTGAGGCTTTGTTTTCGGGAAAATCGACTTTGAATTTTCGCTCGGCACGCGTGCACTTTATCGCGTCTCGTTATGACGGATCTCACTGTAGATCGTTGTCTCGATGAAAAAATTAAAAAAAAAATTTTTATTCTATAATTTCGACTTCTTTTTTCACGCAGAATCAGCCCCTTTCCGCTTGTACCACCAGTTACAGTAGTATATGTCGGGTTCACATTATGATTAGGGTTAGGGGCGTGAAACGAATCTTCATTTGTGTTAGACATTGTTATGCAATAGAGAAGATATTTATTAGCACAAATATGATTAATACAGAATTTGACAAGTAACCGTGGTAATTAGATACTCGAGATGCGAATGACAATGATCCTGGGTTCAATAACGAATCCGCGGTCAACGAGATAACAAAATGCGCTTTCTTCCAAGGTCCAAGTTGTACTCAACTTTCTTGTCTACGGTGCAAGTATTCCTAAACTAACTCTTTGTTAAAACGTAGAATATTCACCTAGCGTAAAGACGCTACGTAACTCGCTAATGAGACCTCACGAGAGAATGACTTTCCGTCACGATGATGCTGCAGAGGAAAATTATGATGGGGTGTATCTAAGGACACGAGATCGTCGGATTCGTCGAGGAAAGCCTTCGTTCGGAAAGTGAGGGAAATGGACGTTCCTGTTAATTGGTTAATTTCTATGTCGGTGGTTGAAGAAGGATGCTAACCGCCCTTGAGAGAAAACTGCTAGCTGGAAGCGTCGTTCGTGAGAAAAGCAGATTTCTCGTATCTTCCTGTAGTAGATGGTAGATTTAGGAACTGTTAAGATAAAGACTGTTTGTCCGTTTGAAGGACCTTAGTTAACTAAATCCTAAGATTCACAGCGGGTCCTCAGGCTAGCTGAACATGTACTGTGGAGATGCATCGACATTTGATAATCATCTTGCCCGAAGAATAGGGTCTGTGTGTGGCGAGCCACGGGACAGAAACCGTTGGAATGTTTACTGTCGCGTGCCGCCACAACTATTTCTTTTTAAGGAGAGCTATACAATTACTCCATACCTCTGTTAGGTACAAACGTTCATCCCGTGACGGCGGCTACGTTGAGCTACTAGTTGTCGCCTCGAGCCCAAGCTCGTTATCACAAATCTCGGACAAATATAATCGAGTTAAATTATAGAGACTAAAATATTGGGAATTTTTCGAAGAATTCCAAAGGGAAGACCCTTTCATCTCCGACATATATAATGAATACATCTGGTTTGAGATTTGGAAGCGTCAGTAATTAAAAATTTTTGTTTTCGAAAATAAAATAATAATATTTATGTATAAAATAAAATTATATAATATATCAAATAAATTAGAAAATAAATTAATTTGTCCAATGATATTAGATCGACAACATGGGAAAATGTTAATACAAAGAAAAGAAAAATAACCATAAACTTGTAATTTCTGTCTCTAAAAATAAAAGGATGAATCTCGTATATATTCAAGTGCAAGAGTATTCTCATTGTTTACTATTAATAAAACAATACATTATAATGTAATTAAAATACATAACTGCAATTTGTATATACAATATCGTAATACATTATTTGAACTATAGGTTGTTAAACGTACGTTTTATATTGTACGACGTACATACGTCTTTCAGTCTGTCTATCGTTTGAATGTTTTTCACAAGGGAATGTTTTTCCATAAGATTGCTCTTTTTGATCAAGAAACGAAGGTGACAACGTTTAAACGAGGTAAAGCAAGAACACAACGTTTGATGTCGTCGTTGCTTCAACTCTTTTCATGTTTCAAAAATATACCGCCTTTGAGATTTCGTCGTTTCCCTCTTTGCCCAGAACAACTCTACAAACAGTTAATCTTGAATTTTCTCGAATTACTCCGTGACATTTCACAAAGATCAAGCTGTCATTTAAAAATGGATATTTACGCGGTTTCCTGTATCTAGGAAGGCGCAAAGGTTTAGTCTATCTCGTCGAAATCTTGTCAAAGTCAGCTAAATATTTCCTGACGCTCAAGGACACTAAAGGTCACTCTTTATTGCCATTGCCATTGCCATTGCCTGTTCTCTTTTACACACGCCGTTTTATCTTCGTAGCTTTCGAACTTTACAGTTATTATATTTACAGAACTCCATTTACCTGAACGAAGATTCAGTTAGTGCTTGATTAACTGGACTCCTGTCGATTGAATTAATGAAGCTCTCTCGATAGAATAATCTGAATAATCTGAAAATTACAGGTAGCCGATAGAGTTGGTGAACTTTTGTTACGTGGACTTCAGTCTTATTCATTACGATAAATTATGAAATATTAAAATGTGACTACGAATTCAAATAAGCGAAATGATCTAATATATATTGAATACATCCTGTAAAAATGATGACCATCAACAATAGCATTATTGAGTTGTAGATAAGCAGCAAAAATGTGAGTTAAGTTACTTATTATGGTTTCCGAATTTTCAATAACAATAAAAGTATGTTTAATGCTTTAAGAAGTACATCATCATAGAATTCAGACGATTAATCGATAATTAAAAATAACCCGTTATATTTCCTTCAAGTTTAAACAATTTTTAAACCACTAAAAGAGACGATAGGGTGAAAATGATGCTGAAACTGCAGCAACCTCAATTTTCGAATTTTACATTTTACAGTAGCTGTAAAAAGTGCTTTCACTTACATTTAAGTAATCTAACTGAAATTACAACAAAACTACTTTTAATTATCAATGACATTGAACGAAGATTAATATGAACGCATTAACATCTACTTTTCAAAACGTTTCAAGCAATCTGACTTTGTAGAGACGCGAATAAAAGCTTCGTAAAACTGAACAGGCTTGCGGGGCTCGTATCTTTCCAATTCCGTTATGATAAGGAACGCACTTGCGATCGAGCTGATGCGCCAAGTTATAATTCAACCGCGTTTACGATCGCGTTACATAGGATCCCCAGGAATAATGCATCGACGTAAAAATCGGTAGGCGTACGGAACGAAACCTCCCCTTATCATATCGAACGTAACGCGTTTCCCTTCCAGCAAAGAAAATTCCATTCCATTCTCGGAACACATCAATTTTTCCAGCGTGCAAAGGGTGTTCTCGTGTCGCTGTTTCGCTTTCTACGGTTATCCACAGGCTCGCGGATCGTATTTTTTGTCGGTCTTGGCGATACATGACTTTCTTGGGCCACCGACTATCTCATCAGTATGAAAATTAGCCCCGAATATCCGGCTTCTTAAATTGAAATCCCACTTTGGAAGTCGAGTGGTAATAACGCGCTGTTCCACCGGAGCTGTCACGAAATTTATCGTCGGCTGGTCCAGAATACTGGTTTTAATGGAACGTTCGAACTATTATTCTGCAGCTGGAGAGCAGATCTTCCGAGTTTGTATGTAGGTCGTGATGAGATTGTCGCTGATCGCTTGTCTTTTACTGGCAAAATATTTTTCTTCCACGCTTTTACCGATGTAAAACATTACTGTCGTGTCTCATTATACCGCTAATGAAATTTCAATTGTACAGACAACGATCTACAGTGAGATCTGTTATAACGTACTGCACGCATATCGAGCGAAAATTCAAAGTCGATTTTCTCGAAAACAAAGCTTCAAACGAAAAATTGTTATTCTATATTTTCGACTTCTTTTTTCGCGTAGAATCACCCTCTTTCCGCTTGTACCACCAGTTACCAACCACCCTATATAACATATAAATACAATAGGAACATAAAAGTTTTC